GGCCTACACGGGTGACGCGGCGGCCTACACGGGTGACGCGGCGGCCTACACGGGTGACGCGGCGGCCTACACGGGTGACGCGGCGGCCTACACGGGTGACGCGGCGGCCTACACGCGGGGCTGCGGCGGCCTACACGGGTGACGCGGCGGCCTACACGCGGGGCTGCTACGCTCTGAACGGCCAGGAGGGCCAGTCGACGGGCGGCTAGCGGGCTGCTCGTGGGTGGCGCTGGTCGTGCGGGCGGCTAACGGTCGGCGCGCGCGCAGAAAAGGCCGCGCGCGGGCTGCTAGTGGGCTACGCGCGCGAAAAAAAAAAGGAGGCCGCGCGCGGCACTAGCGAGCTGCGCACGGGCAGCAGGAGAAAGAGAGGCGCACGAGGGCGCACTAGGAGAGAGGCGCTCGAGGGCGCTAATGCATTAAGGCGCTCGAGGGCGCTTCTAACGGAACGGTGGGCCCTTAGGTAAGCGATCCTAGGTCTAAACCTACGCTCTTAATACCATGTTAGAAAGAAGAAGTGGTTCGACTAGAAAGGAATGGGAGTACAAGTACCTAACCCTAGAGTAATGTACCCCCTAAAGGCTAACCCACTGTAGCCTACACAAATACAACATATATAATGTTTGACAAAGAGGAGGCGGCTGATGCTGGAGATGGACTCACACCACCCCCTCAACCTCCCCCCCACAGAAGCAACAGCAACAGCAGCAATGAGGAGAGAGAGGAGGAGGCATGGCGGTAGTTGCTGCAGTTAAGACACCCTCCCCCCCCCCCCCCCCCAAAAGGCTGCACGCGCAGCAGGGAGAGGGAGGAGGCTGGCGCTGTAGGTGCAGCCTCCCCTTTACACCCTCCCCTCCCCCTCCCCCCCCCCAAACTGCTGCACGTGCAGCAGGGAGAAGGGGGAGAAGAGGGGGGGAAGCGGGGTAGGGGTTGCGCGGGGCAGCAGCGCGCACAAGGCGCGCAGGGCAGCAGGGCACGCGGGGTAGGAACCGCCGCGCGCTCGGGGCGCACGACGGGCAGGTACCGCCGCGCGCATGGGGCGCACGACGGGCAGGTACCGCCGCGCGCACGGGGCGCGCGACGGGCTGGTACCGCCGCGCGCACGGGGCGCACGACGGGCAGGAACCGCCGCGCGCTCGGGGCGCACGACGGGCAGAAAACGGGAAGGGGCGCTGCATGACGGGCAGCGCGACGGTGGGCCCATTGCGGAGGTCGATAGGAACTTCCGGCTCAGATACCATGTCAAAATAGTAGCACAATCCTTAACATAGCAACCTAGGGTTTAGCTAGGAGGCTTAGGTGTGAGGGGAGCTAGGCAAAAAAGATGGCACAAAAGAGGGTTTGCACTATGAAGTGACAAGTACAAATCTGGCAAGAACAATGGTGCACCACCAACAATGAAGCAATACCTGCAAATGATTATATGAAATATGTAAACATATTTTGACAATATTGTGTGCCTCACTAAAGCCTTACATTCATATTTATAATTTGACAGCCGAGTCGGCCTACGCTTCGGGACTAGCCCGAGCCTCGCTGCCAGCATCGAACTAGCTAGCTTGCAGGCCCGTGTGACTGTTCAATTGTTCTCGCTATAAATGTTTGCTCATTCCTTTGCTCACTCCTTTGCTCACATTATACTCGTGTTGACTCTTTAGTGAAATCCTAGCTAGCTTCATCAATTGCACACGTAACAATACTTTGCAGGACTTGGCCGAGTCAGCCGACGCTTCTGGACTAGCCCGAGCCTCGCTGCCAGCATCGAACTAGCTAGCTTGGAGGCCCGTGTTACTGTTCAATTGTTTTCGCTATAAATGTTCGCAGATTCATTTGCTCACATTATACTATTTAGTGAAATCCTAACTAGCTTCATCAATTGCATACGTAACAATACTTATTATAAGGGAAAGTACATTCCAGCTCCTTAGTTTCGGATTTCATTTAGTCACATGTTTACTCGAAAAAGTGTGACTCTATGGAATTCTGTTCACGCGACATCCACATTACTTTCAAAACATGTCATATTGGGCAAAATTTTCGAAACGTGTCTTGTTTGTATCCATCTGGTCTCTTTCGTTCCATAACAAATTGTTTCTGGTTTTTTTTCTGCCCACCAGCTGTTTTTTTTATTGTCTACACTTTAATGTTTATATATACAATCGTAACTGACCAACTGTGTTGGAATAACCGAAAGGTTATCGTAACATTCCCAAAGGCTCTCCACTCGCGCGTCACTCCATAACGAAGCAACGCGCCTGTATCAGTATCGCAATAGCTCATATAGAGCATGCGGAAGGTTGAGGGTCACCCGAAGGTCAACAGTCGAAGACAGTCAACGGTCGTGACCCTTGACTGCCCAGTAACCGCACTTGGTAGTTACGCGATGCAACCTGGTAACTGTCAAGAAGAGCAATAGTCGTGGTTACTGTAGCAATGCAATTCAGTTAATAAGGGAATGTACCCCTCAGAGTACATGGCTAGCTAGGATTGCTATTTATACCCTTGTACTCCTATCTTATATTTATCTTGTTCTCTTTCAACTTATCAACAAGGTCATTTACAAAGACTTCATTGTTTTCTCTCAAACTTGACAGACTTATCCTGTCCACTACGATCCTTTGGTTATAACAACAAACAACGTTTTTATGGTGGTGAGGACAAACATAAAACCCAATCGGAAAGGGATGAGACTTGGTGAGGAATCAATCCTAAACACCAGGCGGGTTCCCATGTTTAGGGTTGATTCCTCCCGAATATGTGTCCTGGTTCCCCTAGGGGTTTTATGTTTTCTTCTGTGTCCGAAATATCCTGGTGAAAAAAAAAAAAAAACGAAACAGCTGTTTTGGATCAGAATTTCCCCAGATGGTTAGAGAATAGACACGCGTCAGAAAAATTGCCTGGCAGGACCTGTTATGAAAATAATGTGGTTGTTGTGTGAAAGAAATCCCATATAGTCATACTATTTGAGTGAAATTGTGACTAAACCAGATAGAATTCTGAAACATGGTAGTTGGCATGTACTTTCCGTTATTACAGATAGGGTTTTGAGTTCATCACGCACACTTACTGAAACTATTCGCCAAAAGCGCAGCACTGTAGCTTCTGGCGCAGGGTTTCTGCCAGTTTTTCGCTCATAGCGCAGAATTAGCTCCTTTCAACGCAGTTCATTCATCATTGGCCAAAATATAGACGGACCGACAACTCCGCCTAAATTGACGGCCAGCGAACCGTCTACACCTGCATTTTGGGCAGACAAAAATAGAAACCCCTCTCGGATGGCATGCTGTTTAGGGAGGCATCAACCCTAAACACAATGCGGAAGTGTTTAGGGTTGATGCCATAAACAATCGGTTTTATTGTTCGCGATGTGTATTATTTTTAAATGGCACGCATCGAGGGAGTCATCAACCCTAAACACCACATATTGGGTGTTTAGGGTCGATGCCCTTTCTCCATGGGTTCTATATTTTTCCGAGCAGGTAAAAAACAAGACTTGAGAGTTACTGTTCTCACTAACAGTAAGACAAGTTGGCCTCTAACGTTCTGACATGTGGCCCAATGACCATCGAGCTGCGTTGAAAGGAGCTAATTCTGCGCTATGAGCGAAAAACTGGCAGAAACCCTGCGCCAGAAGCTACAGTGCTGCGCTTTTGGCGAATAGTTTCAGTAAGGGTGCGTGATCAACTCAAACCCTTATAAATATGGACGAAGTTGACTCCAATGAGAGTCTCTGGGTTGGAGGACGTAACGAACGCATATCAGCGCTGCCTGGGTTGAACCCTGAATCTGATGTGTTGTCAGGCGCACCCATCAGGTCAGGTCAGGAGTTGCTGTGTTGCAAGATGTACTGTGCATGGCAGCGACGGTTTCGTTAGCAAGACTTCTTATGTACTGCGTGACGACAGTGCCCCTCGCGCGGTGTATTCCAAAGGGTTGCATGTAATTTTTGAGTCACACCGTTCTCACATGACTGGAATACCCTTCACTTTGGTTACGGGACTAGGGGCGGGTCATTAAATTCTCCCACTGTGCTTGGAGAGTTTTTTGTTTTCTGTTACTTAGTTTGGCAAAAGTGTCCCAAATTGCGGACCGGGGTGGGGGTGCTGCTAGCATTCTGTTGCATCATCCACAAGTTTCGTCTGCATTCTGTACTCAGTGACCTGGGCAGGCATACAAAAGCCCACTCCCCATGGTACCGTACACCATATTCGGTACAGTAATTCAGTGCGCCGAAGTGGAAAAGTGCGTGTGATTGCACAACTTTCCCTCGAGGTGGGATTGAAGCGACATGTGTATGGTGAGTTCAACGTTTGACGACCATGGGGGAAAGGACAAGCACCAACACGACGCTGGGGGAGTTGTACACCCATGCTGTGCCTGAGACCGGCTAGCGACTGACATGGTCATTCGTCTGCTCCAACCAAACCAAGCCACGCTTTGAAAAGGGCACTTGGCTTGGCTCGCAGCGGACTTGCTCGGGTGCACTGTGCACACATAGTCCTCCCTCATCTGAAGAAGACCTAGCACAAGGACAAGGCTGTGATGTCCCCAGTCCACACCACACCACAGCCGAGTCTAATGTACTGTAACGGCCGTCAGTCACCTGTGCAAGGTGAGAGTGCATCACAGACACCACACCACCAACGTCCAAGTGAACTGACATTGGATTGGATGTGCCTCCTGTTCTCCAACTTTCACTGCACCGGCAGAGTACGGCACTGCTCTCACCTAGGCATCGGGGAACAGAGCCCGAGGGCCTCTCCCCTCTGGAATCTCAGACCCTGCTGTTCGGCTGGCAGAGCGATTCAGTCTCAACGCATCACGCACGCACCAGACCATAGCACCCAGGCATACCATACCATGCACACCATCTTAACGGCTTTTATCGAGTCATTGACCTCGCAGTCGACACGCGAGAGCGAGTTAATGTGTACACACATTCACACAGGATCGACATCAGAGGTTCGCAAGGTTCTCACTCATATCTAGTCTGATCTGCGCGGATGGACGGCTCTTGTTCGCCCACCGATGCTCTGCAAGCCGCATGCGTCTCTCCCAAGCATCCCAACGGCCCACTCCTTCCGCATTCTCCTCGCGCGAACACCGCCGTGCGGCCATGCCCTCCAGCACCTGGGGCGCGCTCCCCTAGGCGGAACGCACCACCAGAGTGTGCGCAAGCGCACGCGGAGGGAGGCTCTGTGCGATCACCTAGATTCGCCGGGAGTGACGTGTCGACTGCAGCAGCTAGCTGCCCTCCTCTCTCCCCCTCCACCCCGAGAACTCCCCCCCGCAACTGCGCCCGCCGACACAGCTTTTCCACAGCCTCGCCCCCCATTCCCGCAGCCCTTAGTTCCGCCGCCGGCACCCAACGTACTAGCAGCGCCAATCCCCCCTCCGCGAGTGCGTCGCCCCGCGCTACTAGAGAGCGCCGTCTAAGCGAGGGCGGGCGGGAGGAACGGCGCGAGTGGGGCATTCAAAGGGCGCAAGAGAGGCAAGCGGGGCAAGCGGAGGGGTCGGCTGGGGCGGGTGAACGACATAGCGGTACCGAAGCCGCGCGGACTCGTGTGGCGCGGAATGTGCCGCACAGAGAGGCAGCTGCAGGCGCAGCAGCGGCACCAGCAGCACGTGGCAAGCAGCTGTGTCGGCGTAACTCCATGACTGCCGCTGTGCCCAGCGCTGCTGCTAATGCGCGCATCGCCCCCACCCGCGGCCTCACGGACGCCGTTCTTCTTACTAGCCGCTCAGAGGGACGCCGGCCCATCGACGAGTCCATACTTCCGCCGCAACAGTTGCATCAGTCGCATCAGTCGTTACATCAGTCGCAGTCACAGCAGTCGCAGCAGGCGCATCAATCGCAGCAGTTACATCAGTCGCAGCAGTTACATCAGTCGCAGTTGCAGCAAGCGCATCAATCGCAGGAAGCGCATCAGTCGCAACAATCGCGATCTCAGCAGTCGCATCAGTTGCAACAATCGCAGCCGCAGCAGTCGACGCAGCCGCAGCCGTCGCAGCACTCGCAGCACTCGCAGCTGTCGCAGCAGTCCCTGGCTTCCCGCACAAGGGTCCATCCTCCGCAACTAGCCGGCAATCCACACTCAGGCGCGCCGCCACAGCCGGCGAGGGAAGTAGATAGCGTGCAGAGGAGATTTCCAAGCGGAGACAAGGTGTTGGGGGGGGATAGATTCGCTGAAGCGCCGGGAAGGGCGTCTGGCGGACAGGAGAGGGCGCTCAGGCGCGTGCAGTCGTGCGTGGTTCCGCGCACGGCGGAAAGGGGCGCGGGGAGAGCGGTGTCGGGCGCTGCAGGCAGGGGCGGAGGGATGGTAGCGCGAGGGAGGGGGAGAGGAAGAGGTGCTGAGGCAGGAAGAGGGAGGGGGAGGGTTGTCGCGACGGACGGCGCGCAGAGCAGCGCCGATGTTCCGCGGAGTGATTCGTGCGCGCTGGCATGCCCAACCTCGTACCAACCGTACTCCCCAGCTCCGCCATCCGCCGCTCCGCGCGCGTCTCCGCGTGTCTCTCCGCGCGCGTCTCCGCTCGCCTCTCCGCGCGCCTCTCCGCACTCCCTATCATCCGCCTCTCCGCCTCCCGCTTCTCCGCCACGCGCCACTCCGCCGCCGTCCGCCTCTCCGTCTTCCCCGCGCCCTCCCAATAGCTACATGCACTCCTTTTCCCTGCCACCGAATGCGCAGTCCCCACCCGTTCCCGCGCGCTCGTCGCCCCCCACCCAACCTGCGCCAACACCGCCACCCCCCGCGCGTGTTCCGCCTGCATCTCTCCCTTATTCCCCGCCCGCAGCAGCAGCTCCGCCTCCCGCGCAGGCCAGCAGCGCCGCGCACAGTGCCCCACGCGGCGCGGAACGGGGCAGAGGGCCGGCAGCAGCTGTCGGGTCTAGAGCGAGGACGCACGCGACTGGCGAGCGTGCTGCTGCCACTGGTGCTGCCGCTGCCGGTGCTGCTGCCGGTGGGGCTGCCGGCGAGGCTGTGACGTCCACGGGGCAGAGCGGGAGGGAGAGGAGCACGGTGCATGGGGGGAACGGCGCGGAAGGGCGCTGGCTCGCGGCGGAAAGGAGCAGCGCGGAGAATAGCGAAGGGAAGGGGAGCGAAGGGGCAGTACAGCGGGGGGCGTTGGTGGTGGCGGACGGAAGGGCGGGGGAGAAGGGCGGTGCGGAGGGGGAGGGAAGAGGCGTGAGGGAGGGCGGGGAAGATGGAGGAGGGCGCGCAGCGTCTGAACAGGAGTGCGGGGGGAGGAGAGAAGGGGCAGCAGTAGCAGTGGGGACGAAAGGAGTCGGTGGGGAGCAAAGGGGCAACGGGGAGGCGGTGTATGAAGCGGTCTTTGGGGAGGGTGCGAGTGGAGTGGGTGTAGGGAGGGTTGAAACAACACGTGCAACAGCACAGGTGGCATGTGCGGAGGGCGAGCGGGGGGGGGCGGCGTGGCAGGGACAGGCCAGTGCATGCAGAGACGAGGCTGGGTGGGGAAGCGGGGGGGGAATGGGAGGGGAAGCGGGTGTGGAATTGGCAGCATCGCATGTGCACGCACATGCGCATGCGGCGGCGTCTGTTGCTCGGCTGATGCTGATGCGGGAGCTGCAGCAGCTGAGCGACGAGGACGAGGACGAGGAGGAGGGCGAGGATGCAGGGAGCGAGGAGCAGGCGAAGGCAGGCGACGGGAGGGTTGATGGGGGGAGGAGAACAGGCGTGGCAGCAGCAGGTGCGGGAGGGGCTGGCGAGGGGGATGGCATCGGCAGCAGGGCGGGGAGGAGCCGTGTGATGCCGCGCAGCAAGAGCATGGTCACTGGCCCTCTTGCTTCCCGTGCTCCCAATGATACCTCTGCCTCTGCTGCTGCTGCTGCTGCTGCTGCTGCTGCGGGCAAGTTGGGGCGGCGAGTGGTGGCGAGCCGGGCGACATCCCTGGACACGTTTGAGAACTGGCCCGCACACAGGACACGCGGGGTGAGCGGGGTGAGAGGGGCTGACAGAGTGAGGTTGGGGGACACGTGTTGTGCTGGGTAGAGGGCGCAACAGGAGTGGCGTGAGGTGAGGTGGAATTGGCGGTTCGCTGCAGGGGCGTGGCATAAGGCAGCACACACATGGGGGTGATGGTTCCTGTGCGCCTGTGTATGATACGCCGTTTTCTCAATATGCTCGCCTATGCCCATGCCATTGGTCTCTGTCTTTCCTTACCCCCTGCCATATCCTGCCCTCTGCCCCCATCAGGCGTTTCGGCCCAACAGAGCGACCTCTCACCTCCATCGCCCGCCCACCACTTCCCCCTCGCCTCACCCTCCTCCCGCCTCCACAACCTCCTCCAACCTGCCTGCCACGTCAGCAACTTCTGCCCAAGTGGATGCCACGTCGGCATCCTCTCTTCAGCGACAGGAGAGCGCAGCAGCACCCTCCAGCAACGGGCAGCAGATGCCGGGACCGCATCCAACGCAGCGATGCTTGCAGCCATCAGGCACAGCCAGTGGCAGCATGCCATGTGGCAGAGGGGAGGGTGAAGGGGCAAGGGGGCCAGGACATGCGGTGAGAGCACAGTCAATGAGGGAGAGGGTAGGCGGGGGGAGAGATGGGGGAGAGGAGGGGGAGGGGGCAGAGAGGGGAGATGAGGCAGGTTTGAGTCACGCAGCGCACTACGCAAGGTCAAAGAGTGACAAGTCGTGGGAGGGAGTGCGGGCAGCAGAGCATGGAGCAGAGCAGCACTGGCTGCTGGGGCCGTGTGCACCCATTGCGGAGGCGCCACACGAGTCATCGCCATGCCGCCATGCCCCTGCGGCTGCCCAGGGCGGTGCGTGTACAGAGTGCAGCATGGCCGGCAGTGGCAGCGGCAGTGAGCGCGGTGCGGGAGGGCATGGTGTGCTGTCAGCGAAAGGCGGTGGCACTGCTGGTGGTGCCGGGCTGGGACATGGGCATGAGAATGGACATGCGGGCGAATGCATATCCGCGCTCTCTGCAGAGACAGAGTGTTCACACGGGTGGCAGGCCAAGGAGAACATAGTTTTGGGTCCGATGGGGAGGGTGGAGGAGAGGGATGGAGAGGGGTCATGTGTCATGTCATGTGGTGCTTGCGAGGGTGGCACTGGCGATGCATGCACATGCCCATGCACATGCGCATGTGACGACGCGGCGAGTGTGAGTGGCAGCTGCAGCGCGTGCAGCCAGGGCAGCGATCCGCGGCACAGGAGCACGGGCAGCAGGAGCAGCGTGCTGTCTGGGATCACGACCGACACATGGGGCACTGCCAGCACCATCAGTGCGGGTGGCAGCTCGCGAAGCATGTGCAGTGAGAGGAGTGGGGGAGGGATGGGGGAAGGAACGGGGGGAGGAGGAGGGGATGGGTGGTTTGGAAGCAAGGCTGGAAAGGGGGGCCCGGTGGCGGTGGTGGTGGGAGCGGGAGTGGCGGGGACGCGCATGAGCATGGTGAGAGCGCTGAGCCGCAGTGTGAATGTGAACCTGCGCTTGCCCTCGCAGCATGCTCCCCACCGCTCACACGCCGACTCTTCCACCAAGCACAGCCACGCAGCACCCAACGGGTGTGCCAGCCAGGACAAAGCACCACCCAGCAGCAACCCCGGCAGTGGGAGCAGGGACAGCAGCAGCAACATGAGAAGCAGCGGCAGCGAGGGTGGCCTGAGATCCATCAGTATGGGTGGCACGAGCAGCAGACCCGGCAGCAGCAGCAGCGGCAGCAACTACAGCGGTGGCAGGCCGCGCAGCAGCAACGGGTACATGGGTAGTCGCAGAGTAATGCTCATGGACCAACCCTTCCCGCCCGCCTCCTCCTCCTCATCCGTCTCATCATCCGTGTCTTCCTCTGCTGACTCATCTTCTTTTGCATGCGATGCCAGTGGTGCTGCTGATAGCACGAGGGCCAGTAGCAGTAGCAGGGCGGGTGGCGAGAGAGGCATGCCCGCCCTCTCTCTTCCACAGATCCGTCCTTCCTCCTTCCTCTTCCCCTCACGCTCTCGCACCTCCCCTGCTGCTGCTCGCTCAGCTCTGCACTCCTGCGCCCATCCTTCTGACGCCGCTCCCACACGAAACGTTCCCAGCAACCCCACGACCCCCACCACCATTCAGCAGCCTCTCCCCCAAAACTGCACTCGCACAACCTCCTCAGGAGCTGCCTCTGCCATCCAGAACAGCTGCAGCACCAGTACCAGGACCCATGGCAAGAGCAGCACAATGAGCAGCAGCAACGGCGCCAGCAGCAACGGCAGCAACAGCAGCAGCAACAGCTGTGCGAGCAGCAACGCCCCTCCAGGCTGGAGGGCCGGGCGGCGGTGGCGGCGGGTGAAGCTGCGCCTCTCGTCCGCACACCCACCCTGTCGCCTCTTCTCCCCCGAAGATCTCACTGCCGCCACACTCTCCTTCCACCCCGACCGCCTGCTGGGGCAGGGCGCGTACGGCCCTGTGTACCGTGGGGAACTGGACGACGGGGTTGCTGTGGCTGTCAAACGCATGAAGGCCCGCGCTGCAGCGGGAGCAGCGGGAGGTGGGGGGGCAGGTGAGCAGCAGAGGGAGGAGCGGCGGGGAGGAGGGGGCATGGTGTGGGAGGCGGAGGGGGAGGAGGAGAGCAGTGGCGTGGAGAGCTTTGAGAGGGAGGTGGAGGTGCTGAGCCGTGTGAAGCATGAGCACATCGTGCAGCTCATCGGCTGCTGCCCTGACGACTGCTCCCTCGTCTACGAGTACATGGCTGGGGGCAGCCTGCAGCAGAGACTAGAACAGCAAGCACTCGCCGTGAGCAGCAGCAACAGCAGGAGCAGCGGCAGCAGTAACGGCAGTAGCAAACCGTCACCTGCTGTGCCCTCTCCTGCACCTGACACCCCCACCATTCGGCCCCTCCTGTGGCAGCACCGTGTGCGCATTGCACATGAGATTGCATCTGCCCTGCTGTACCTGCACCGCAGCCAGCCGCCCATGATCCACCGGGACCTCAAGCCCGACAACATTCTGCTCTCTGCACACGACTGCAGCAAGATTGCCGATGTGGGCATCGCATGTGCACTCGCCAACCCCTTTGCCACGTCCGTCAAGACCCACCGCGTGCGCGGCACTGTGGGGTTCATTGCCCCGGAAGCCATTGCTTCGTTCGAGCTCTCCCCTCGCTCCGATGTCTACTCCTTGGGCATCGTCCTCCTCATGCTGCTCACCGGCTTCACCTCCTCTCGCTCTGTCCATGACATTCTCGCGCAAGCCACGCCGCCCGGCCGCCCTCGGGACGTGGAAGTTGCTGTGGCACTGTTCACTGCCAGGCTGGATAAGAGGGCAGGGCGGTGGGATGCGGGGCTCGCACGGAGAGTGGTGCGAGTGGGAGTGCGGTGTGTGGAGAGGTGTGCTGAGATGAGACCTGACCTAGAGGAGGAGGTGGAGCCGGAACTTGAGGAGGTGGAGAGGGAGGCGGTCAGGCAGGCTGATGAAATGAGCAATGCGGAGATTGGTGGTGGTAGGTAGGGTATGAACGGAAAGGAATGGTTTTTGTGCATGTATTTCAGAATGCAGCAAGGATCCAGGATTGTCATACCGCAACCCCCCGGATAAGACCACCCGGAATAGACGACCCCCAGTTCAGTAATACCATATGGCCCAGGATAGTAACGCAGGTGGGCTTATAATAAAATCAGTTTTTTTAGGGGGGGGGCGCTTCTAAATGAGTTTTGGGTATAAGTGCATGCGCTTCTGTAATTACAAATACATATATATAATTTAAATGCACCAGAATGTACATTTCATTCTTGCAATCACAAGCGAGTCGAAATCAGAATCACGCACGGGCGATTTTCTACTGGCGCACAGAAGCAAAGGCACGTCACTTTGCATGTGCTGTCAAATGTTGTAGCCGTTAGTGATGTGTGTCATATGGGGTACAGCAGTTAGGGTTAGGCATATGTACCCCAACCAACCTTAGTGAAACCATCATTCAGTTCTTAACATGGTATCACCTATGTTCGGATCCTGTGGGATCCCGTTCCTCCCGCTCACGTCCGTAACGCCCGAGCCTGTCCCGTACCCTAGTGTTAGTCACGCTCGTACCGTTCCCTAGCGCCCGCTGCGCCTGCTGGTCGCGTCGCGCCCGCTTTCCCCGTTGCGTCGCGTCCCCCCACCCCCCCCCCCCCCCCCCCCCCCTGCCCGTCCCATCCGTCGCGTTGCGCCTGTCCGCCGCGTCGCCCCCGTCCCGTCTGTCCCGTCCGTCGCGTCGCCCATGTCCGTCGCGTCGCGTCGCCCATGTCCGTCGCGTCGCGTCCGTCCCGTCCGTCGCGTCGCGTCGTGTCCGTCCCGTCCGTCGCGTCACGTCGCGTCTGTCCCGTCCGTCGCGTCGCGTCTGTCTCGTCCCGTCTAGCCCGTCGTGCCCGTCCCGTCTAGCCCGTCGCGCCCGTCCCGTCTGCCCCGTCGCGTGCGCCCTGCCTGCCCGTCCCGCAGCGCCACGCTGCGCCCGTCCCGTCCTGCCTGCCGCGCAGCGCCGAGCTGCGCGCGTCCCGTCTTGCCTGCCGCGCGGCGCCGCGCCGCGCGCGTCCCGTCCTGCCTGTCGCGCGCGTCCCGTCCTGCCTGCCGCGCGCGTCCCGTTCCGCCTTGCGCCCGTCCTGTCCCTTCGCGCCGCGCTGCCCATCCTGCCATGTCGCGCCCTACCCTGCCGTTCTGCCGTGCCCTGAGCCTCACGCACTGCCTGTCACGCCCTACGCAGGCCCTTTAGGCGTTTAGGGTTTCGGCAGCAGCAATTCCCACCTCTTCGCTTCCGCTATGGCGACCCCTAGGGTCCTGCGCTTTGACGCCGAGGGTAGGCCGTTCGAGTTCTCGGTCTGGCTCCTGCGTGTGCGCCGCCTCCTAGAGAGTCAGGTTCAGGCAGAAGAGTCGCTGTGGGCGCACGCTTCCGGTGACCTTCCTGCGCCCTCCGACCCTGCACCCTTAGGCGTTGACGCCAGCACTGCAGACAGAGACCGTTATGCACGCCAGCGTGCTGACCTGACAGCGTGGAAGTCGCGTGACGCTGCGGCCTGCATCGCCCTTAGCAGCCTCCTCCCTGAGTCTGAGGAGGCCCACTTCACTCAGGTTCGCACTGCTAGTGAGTTCCTGACTGCGATCAAAGCCCGCTACGCTACTCCCACCACTGTCTCTCTTGGTCGAATTTTCCTCCCGTTCCTGTTTCCTGACCTCGCCTCGTTCGAGCGCTCTGCTGACTTGATCGCTCACCTGCGCTCGCTCGATTCTAGCTACCGCGCTGCCTGTACTGACGCACAGCTTGCACTGCTCCCTCCCCCCATGGCGATTACTATCTATTTCATCGCCACTAGCCTCCCTGACCGCCTTGCCTCGGTTCGTGACGCGCTTCTTCTGAAGCACCCTAGCGAGCTCACTATTGAGGTTCTTGAGTCTGCGCTCAAGGACGTCGAGAGCAACCTCCGCTCGGTAGCCTCCGCCTCTGGCGCTGTGCCCCCTCCACTGTTTCACGGGTGCACTGTCCCTCAGCTGCCCACCTTTACTGCCTCCCTCGCCACTGCCGCTACTGACGTGACCGCAGCTGCTGTTACGACTCCTTCGCGGTCTAGGGGTAGGAGTGGCAGGAGGGGCGGTCAGGGTGCGGGCGGAGGCGGCGGAGGTGGCGGAGGTGGCATGACGAGTGGCGGTGGCGGGAGTGCGGGAGTTGGAGGAGCGCCCTGTGCAGCGCCTAGTGACCCCCCTGCTGCAGCTGGTGGAGGTGACACTCGGGGACGTCAGACGCCTGCTGGACTGCCGACTACAGGTGCTGGACTGCCGACTACAGGTGCTGGAGTGGCGGCTTGGTACCTGACTCAGCGACAGCAGCAGCAGCAGCAGCAGCAGCAGCCACCGCAGCAGCAGCGGTAGCAGCAGGTTCCGGGGCAGGGATCAGGACCGCGTCAGCTGTCGCGCGGTGCCGTCCACCCTCCCTGCACCTATATCGTCCAGACAGGTACTCGCCGAGGCCTCCCCTGTGGCCGCAGCCACACCCCGGGTCAGTGCTTTGCTCAGCTCACTGACACTCTTCGCGCGGCCTACGGCGTCGACGACCCTGCCCCTGACTGGCTTCCTTTTCTTCACTCGCACGGTGCTGCCCTGTGGGGCATGTCTGCTTCTCAGTTGCTTGATCTCTTAGGAACTCCTCATGCTAGGTATGCTGTTGTTGACTCAGTGCTTCTGACTCTGTTTACTCGAGTGTTTTTAGCTTAGGTGCTAGTGTTGCTGAGGTGCCTGTTGCTAGTGTAGGTACTTGTGTAGACACTAGCCCAGGAGCTGCTCCGGAGGACGCTTCGCTGTCTTTCACTCTGGACTCTGGAGCTTCACACTGTTTCTTCCGCGACCACACGACGCTTACTCCGCTTCCTGCGCCGGTCTCTGTAGCACTGGCTGATCCCACTTCGGGACCAGTCACTGCTCGCTACACTACTACGCTTCCGTGTCCGGCTGTTCTCTCGGGTTTCCTGACCGGCTTTCACGTCCCCTCGTTCTCCAGGAACTTGGTGGGTGTGAGGCCGCTCGTGGACAGTCACGTGGGTGTTTGGATTGAGCCTTCTGGGGACACTGCGACCTGTGTAGACGGTGACACGTATGCGCCCCTGGCCACCTTTCACGCTGAGTCGGGCTCTGGTCTCTACACACTTCACACTGGCCCCCGAGAGTGGCAGCAGCAGCAGCAGCAGCAGCAGCAGCAGCAGCTGCCCCCGACCCCTATCACTGCCCCCCGTCAGGTCCCCGCGTCTCACCAGGTTACCACCTCCCACCAGGTAGCTGCGTCTGGTAGGGTTCCAGCGTCTGGTCCGGTTGCTGCGTCTTGCTCGTGTCGGTCGCTTGCCCACCCCACCGTTCTGTACCACCACCGCCGTGGTCACCCGTCCATTCTTCGCCTGCGCACTATGGCTAGTCAGCGTCTCATCTTAGGCCTCCCGCGAGTCTTGCCGTCACTGCCGCCTTCGCTTGCACCACCTTGCGCCCCTAGCATCGAGGGTCGGCTGTGCGCCACCCCTCACTCCTCCTCCCTTCGTCCGGCCACCGAGCCCTTCGAGACTCTCCACTTGGACGTCTGGGGCCCCGCCTCGCGCCCTGGCCCTGAGCACGAGAGTTTCTTTCTGGTGGTCGTTGACGACTACTCTCGTTACACCACAGTGTTCCCACTGGCGAAGAAGTCCGAGGTGACTTCTACGCTGGTCCGGTGGTTGCTTACCACTGCGGACACTCGTGGTCGTCGTGTCAGTTGTCTTCACTCCGACCATGGGGGTGAGTTTTGCTCCGGCTTTCTCGCCGGATTCTGTCGCGAGCAGGGCATCCGTCAGTCCTGGACGCTTCCGGAGTCCCCACAGCAGAATGGGGTTGCTGAGCGCCGCATAGGCTTGGTCATGGAGATAGCACGTACCTCCATGATTCACGCCCGTGCGCCCCATTTTCTGTGGCCCTACGCGGTTCGGTACACCGCTCACCAGCTGAACCTCAGGCCACGTGTCTCCCGGCCAGGGGCTTCACCGACCAGTCTTTGGACTGGGTCTCCTGGTGTTGCGTCGCGTTTTCGTGTCTGGGGCTGCTTGGCGCGTGTTCGCGACACCTCCGTGGACAGGATCTCGCCTCGCGCCATTCCCTGTGTCTTCCTTGGTTTCCCAGAGGACTCCTCTGGCTTCACCTTTTATCACCCTCCCCTTCACCGGTTCTTTGACTCCCGTGACGTCCGTTTTGACGAGTCAGTCCCCTACTACACCCGGTACCCCTGTCGAGGTCTCCCAGTTCCTCCTCCCCCTCTCTTCCTGACTCCCACTTCCCCTCCGGCTCCTCAGGTACAGCCTCCCCCCCCTGGTACAGCCCCGTCAGGTGTGTCACGCGCTACCCCCCCCTCCTCGGTAGCCCCTCAGGTCTCGTCCCCTTCTCCGCAGTCCTCCTCACAGTCACCGCACCAGCCGTCAGCACTTCCTTCACAGGCTACTGCAGACCCTGAGGGTGCTGGTGTCCGTGGCGCGGACCCTGGAGGTGCTACCTCTGGAGGGGTTGGAGTTGGAGCTGAGAGTGTGCCTCCACGAGGTTCTGGTGCCGGGGGTGCTGGAGTTGGAGCTGAGCCCGAGTCTGCAGGAGGTTCTAGTCTTCGGGGAGCTAGTGTTAGTCGCGCTGTCCCTGGGGGTGCTACGACTGGGGGTGCCACGTTGGGGGGTGCGGGTGCGCCCACTACGGGACCTGGAGAGTCTGGGACTGGCCGCGTTGCTGCTGGTGGTGCTGGCTCTGGGGGTGGTGCGACTGGTGCTTTGGAGGGCGGTCCTGGGGCTACCACCGCCCCGGACACTACTCCTCCCCCCCAGCCCTACCCGACCCGGCACCAGGCCCGTGTTCGCTGTGCACGTGAGGAGCAGCTGGAGTTGGAGCGAGAGGAGAGAGAGTTGGAGCGGCAACAGCTGGAGCTACAGCAGCTGGAGGAGCAGCAGCCGCAGCAGCAGCCGCCGCAGTAGGAGCAGCAGGAGCAGCAGCAGCAGCCGCAGCAGGAGAAGCCGCAGCGGCAGCCGCCGCAGCAGGAGCAGCAGCAGCTGCAGCAGCAGCAGCTGCCACCTCCGCCTCCTATTTCTGGTCTTCGGACCCTCGGTCTCCCCTCTCCTTCTCCTACCCCCTCCCCCTCTCCCCCTGTCTACGATCCCACGTTTCCTCCTCCTGACTCCGCCCCAGCTGTTTTCCCCCGTTCTCGGCCTCCGCTGTCCCCTCCTCTTTCTCACGCTTGGACTTCCAGTGCTCCTCGTGCTCGTCCCTCGTCCCCTGTCCCTCTCACTGACCTTCATACTGTCCTGTTCCGTCCTAGTCCGCCTCGTTCGTCGCCGTCTGCGCTTCCTTCTCCCCCTAAGTCAGCCCTCACTGCTTCCCTCTCTACTCCTGTCACGGACTACTACCGCGCGTTCCGTCCTGTTCTCTCTCGTGTTCTCGCCTCTCTTGTTACCGACCCCCGTGCTTCTCTGTCCTCTGTCTCCGCTCTTACTGCCGCAGTCACTGAGTTTGCCTCTACTCGCCGCCTTGACTACGCCACTAGTCTCGTGGCTGCTCCTCCTACCAGTCCCTTGGCCGTCGGGGGTGAGTCTGCCCTTGTCTGTGACGCCCTAGAGGACAGGCAGTTTGAGCTGGAGTTCCTGGCAGCCGCTTCCCCTCATCTCTGTGCCATGCTGCTCGCCCCTGAGGGAGACCGCGACGCCCTTGACATACCGACTCCTTGCACTTACGCTGAGGCAGTGTCAGGGCCTTGGGCCTCTCAGTGGAGAGCTGACATGGACTCAGAGATGGCCTCCTACAGATCCACAGGCACCTACGTCGACGAGGTTCCCCTCCCTGGGGCGAACGTAGTCGATGGCATGTGGATCTTCAGGGTGAAGCGGCCACCGGGATCTCCTCCGGTCTTCAAGGCGCGCTATGTGGCTAGAGGTTTCAGTCAGCGCGAGGGAGTTGACTTCTTTCAGGCTTTCGCGCCTACCCCGAAGATGACCACTCTTCGGGTGTTACTGCACGTAGCAGCACAGAGAGACTACGAGTTACACTCTCTCAACTTCTCCACTGCCTTCCTTCAGGGTAGTCTACACGAGGAGGTCTAGCTGCGTCGTCCCTCTGCCTTCACTGGCAATTTCCCTCCTGGGACCCAGTGGAGGCTGAGGCGACTGGTCTACGGTCTTCGTCAGGCTCCTCGTGAGTGGCACGACACCCTTCGCTCTACCCTGTCTGACCTCGGTTTCCAGCCGTCTTCTGCCGACCCGTCGCTGTTCGTTTGTCGTTGCTCCACACCGTTCTTTGTACTGGTCTACGTCGACGACCTGGTTTTCGCCACTGCTGAAAGGGTTGCTTTGGCTGACGTGAAGTCCGAACTGCAGAAGAGACACACGTGCACTGACTTTGGTGAGTTGCGTCACTACCTTGGCCTGCAGATCACCAGGGACAGAGCCGCTCGCACCATTACACTCTCACAGTCACACATGGTGCAGCAGGTCCTTCAACGGTTCGAGCTTTGCACTCCACAGTACAGCGCACACCTCTTGCCGTTGACCACAGACTCACTGGTCCCTTTCCTGACGAGCCGTTTGAGCCTAGTGGTCCTTACGCAGAGCTTGTGGGCTGCCTCATGAACCTGATGACTTGTACTCGCCCGGACCTCGCCTTCCCTCTCATCATCCTTGCTCGCTTTGTTGCGCCAGGGAGACACCGTCCTGTTCACTGGACAGCGGCTGTGAGGGTGGCGAAGTACCTAGCGACGACATCAGGCGTGGGGCTGGTTCTTGGAGGGGGACGGTCTGTCGTACTTACTGGTCACTGTGACTCTTCTTACGCTGACGACGTCGAGACTCACCGGTCTACTCAGGGGTACTGTTTCAACCTGGGCTCTGGAGCTGTTCCGTGGAGGTCCACACGTTCCTCCTCGGTCTCGACCTCTACCGCTGAGGCTGAGATCTACGCTGGAGCCATGGCTGCACAGGAGCTGCGCTGGTTGACCTTCTTGCTCACTGACCTTGGTGAGCGGCCGAGCTCTGCACCGACCTTGTTCATTGACAACAAGGCATCGATTCTCCTCTGTCGAGAGCCGCGACTGGAGAGCAGAGTGAAGCACATCAACGTCAGGTACTATCTTCTGCGAGAGTTGCAGAGGCGTGGACAGGCTCGCTTCGACTTTGTGGAGTCCGAGGCCAACACTGCAGACATCTTCACCAAGGCCCTTCCGCCTTGTGACCACCAGAGGTGTTGTGTGCAGTTAGGTCTTGTTGACACAAGTTCTCGTCTTGCGTAGACTTGAGTTTTCCACTTACTTTGTTTGTATACTTTGCTTATACCTCAGTGCACTCTTGAACTGGCCTTGTGGCTCTTTTGCTAGCGCTCAGACTGTGTGGTGACGTTGTGATCCACCCTGAGCTTTGCTGTTGTGTGACTGGTCTTGTGACTGTACTGTTTTGGTTTTGCTTGACACCCCTCACTTAGGCTATGGGGGTGTGTCAAATGTTGTAGCCGTTAGTGATGTGTGTCATATGGGGTACAGCAGTTAGGGTTAGGCTTATGTACCCCAACCAACCTTAGTGAAACCATCATTCAGTTCTTAACATGTGCGTATGGAGATACCAAGGCCGCCATGGATTCCACCGCGGCTAGATCTACTATTATCCGCGATACAGCTGCCTTTTCAAACATCTTTACTAACCACTGGATTCGCCTGTATCTGTTCTCTTAGAAGCCATGTCATTTTTGCTGACTATGGTTCTTGTTACAAGGCATCCGACCTAGGTGTTTGTGAGGCTACATCAAGATCGCGTTTTTCAGCCTTCTTAAGTTTCAAAACGACATCGACAACAACACCTGACAGCTTATAGAATATTAAGCTTAGTCCGCGAGGAGCTCCCGAAGTTGGTTTCTCGATAATACATCACCAACTCAGGGAGCGCTTCCAGCTAGATCCAGGCGAAGTCACGCAACTACTTAACAATGAGGTGCTCAGTCATCAGGCTGATCACCTTTCATAGGCTATCACTTGTGCCTTGCACATCCCCATTCTGCATCAAGCCCATCGTCGCACCATGCCGCCTAAGAACCAACGCTCCAAGCTTGTGGTTGACCCTCGTGTCGTCATGGACGACAATGAATGTCAGAATAGTAGCTTGAGTAGGAGGTCTGTTGAAGTAGGGCCTAGGCTTAGTAGCCTAGGCCAAGGGGGGTATCGAGGGAGTTGTGCCAAAGAGAGGTGCTTGCACTATAGAAACAGCAGTACATATAGGCAAGAGCTAGGGGTGCACCACCAACAAAGTATGAACCTACACTACAGTTAATGCAAAGGACAGTTTATGTAAAATATGTTTTCAACACACCCCCTAAACCGTTCCCAGCAATAACCAGTGCAGTCAACACCCCCTGAAGGGGTACACCCAAGGCAGAACGCAGCGGAAGAACCAGACTGCAAGTGAGGAGGAGGGACCATGAGAGGAGAGGAGGTGGTTGTCGGCGGCTGAAGCTGCTGGCATCACGGCGGCCACCCCCCTTCAACCTCCCCCCCCTCTCCAAACCTCCCCCCCGCAGCGGCAGTCACGGCAGGGCAGACAGGGCAGGCACTGCAGGCAAGGCAGACAGGGCAGGGGCGGCAGGCAGGGGCGGCTCAAGGCAGGGGCGGCTCAAGGCAGGGGCGGCTCAGGCGACATTTCTTCGGATTTTAAGCTGTTAGTTATCAGGAGCAAACTAAGACAAACACTGACAAGCGGAATTCTATAGTCGAAAAGAATGACGAGGTTCAAATGGAAGCAATTGCAAGTAAGCAAAGCCAGAATGTTTACATGCAGGGTTAAGTTTGGGGTCGAAAATACCGCGCATCATTTCCGGTGTTCATGCCAAGCTGTCACTTACTGTCGTGAATCACTGCCTGGCGCAATCTGGCCACCCCCTCACCCTCACACCCTACCGCCAGGCGCAGGCAACCCTACCGCCACTCCCCCGTCCCCCTCACACCCTCCCCCCCCCCCCCCCCCCCAACTGCTGCACGCGCAGCAGGGAGAGGGAGGAGAAGGGGGACGAGGTAGGAGCTGCGCGTGCGGCTGCAGGTGCGTGTGCAGCTGTGCGCGTGCGCGACTGCGCACGTGGGGCAGCAGCGCGCAGGGCAGCAGCGTGCAAGGCAGAGGCGCACGAGGCGCCGGGCAGAGGCGCACGAGGCGCCGGGCAGAGGCGCACGAGGCGCCGGGCAGAGGCGCACGAGGCGCCGGGCAGAGGCGCACGAGGCGCCGGGCAGAGGCGCACGAGGCGCCGGGCAGAGGCGCACGAGGCGCCGGGCAGAGGCGCACGAGGCGCCGGGCAGAGGTGCACGAGGCGCCGGGCAGAGGCGCACGAGGCGCCGGGCGGAGGCGCACGGGGCGCGGGGCAGTGGCGGACAGCAAGGTACGGGAGGCACAAGGCAGGGGATGAGAGGAGGAGGAGGCGGGTGATGCTGCAGCTGGACTGACCTAACCCCTCAACATTCCCCCCACAACAGCAGATGCGGGAGTGGGCGAGAGGAGGAGGAGGCGGATGGTGGTGCTGCAGAGGCTCACGGTGGCCACCCCCTCCACGCCACCTCCCCCCCTCCCCGCTACCTCCATTCCCGTCGCCGCCCCCACCACTGTCCGCCACCTCCCCCTCACAGCGGCCGCCCCTGGCAGGGCGCGGCAGAAATGCGGATGGGGAGCGGGCTGGAGTGGGCAGGGACGCTGGCGGCCGACCCTGGCGCTGGCGTTGGGCGCTGGAGCTGGAGGTGCTGGAGGTGCTGGTGCTGGAGGTACTTGTCCTGGAGGTGCTGGTGCTGGAGGTGCTGGTGCTGTCGACAGAGACTTCACTCCATCGCCGATTTGCTCGCCGACCAGGTCACGTTGACCGCCAGCGATGCCGATGGGCAGTGCCAAAGGTGACGTCAATGCCGACTCAGGTAGACCGGCGGCGAGCGAGGGGAGGGAGGGGAATGAGGAAAGAGGCGGAGGAGCTTTCGACGGGGGCGGAAGGGGAGGAGCAGGATCGACCGACTGATCGTTGTCCTCGGTGGCGAGCAACGGAGTTGTTGCCGGCGATGGATCTATCAGCGGGGAAACCTGATTCCACGTCAACACCGGCCAATGCTCCGCCTTTTACACCTCCAACGACATAGTCTCGTAGAAGATGGCTTCCACGGTGGTGACAACGCGGTTGTTAGTGAGGTCGAGCACCTCCCAGCCCTTGCTCTCCGGTGAAACACTGAGGTGAATTCCCCAGCGTGCTTTCGGCCCCAACTTTTTTCCGCGCTGCTGCTCCGGGACCATGAACTGCACCATGCAGCCAGGTTTTTTGGCAAACAGAAGCTCCTACTGTGTCGTCCCAGAAGGCAGTGAAGCTCGTTTGAGGCAGTTGCGCACCCAGACGGCTTGGCGAAGGGTGAGGTGCCACCAGTGATGCTTCACGCCCATGTGAAGCAGCATCGTCCGCACGGCTTTGACAACCGTACGCATCTCCCGCTCCACCATCATGTTCTTCTGTGGCGTCTAGGGACTCGTCAGGTCGTGGAGGATCCCCTTGTGCTCGACGAAGTCGGTGAAGTTCCTGCCCAGGAATTTGCCTCCGCAATCACAGCGGAGCATCTTCACAGACTTCGTGGTCTGTCGCTCCACCACCTTCAGCCACTTCTTGATCACGCCAAGCATGTTGCTCTTCTTCACGATCTGGCGGACCCACACAAAGTGGGTCTTGCGGTCATTGAGGAGGAGGAAGTAGAGGCTCCCATCCTTGGCGGCCACGCTGAGGTCGATGTGCACGACGTCGAGCGCGTTCTCAGCGCTCGATCCCTTCTCCGGGAAAGTGTGCCGCGCCAGCTTGCCGCCGACGTAGGAGATGCAGCGCTGGTCGGCCCCAGACAACGACTTGATCTCCAAGATGGCGGCGACTCCATGTTCCCTGGACGTTTGATCATGTCGATGTCGGTGTGCGCTAGTCAAGAATGCCAGATGTCTTGAGTCAACTTCATCGACGAGGCGATCGTCCGCAGAGCAACTCTCTCTGTCGAAGTCGACATAGGCTTCGATGGGCAAGGGCAGAGGTTGGTGCAGAGAACGCGGCTGCGGTATCATGGCCGACCGAGCACATCTCCCGCAGCCGACAAAAGCAGCATCTCATCGTAATCGTCCTGCACCTCCTCGTCGCCCATACACAGGTGCGTCAGCTGCCCCTCAAGCCGGGTGATGATCAATTCGTCGGTGACCTGGTACGTCGACTCGATGAAGTGCCACGCCCGGTGGCCGGCGTCGAGGTACTCCCGGCACCACTTCAAGGCAATCTGCACGCCCGGCGAGCAGCACCGCGAGATGACCGTGAAGGTCAACAGCTGCACGGCGCGAAAATCCGCGCACAAGTCGGGGTAGTGCTCCTCCGGCGTCGCCACGGTGCCACGGGCGAAGCCGATCAGCCCGGCCATCTCCAGCTGGGGCTCGGTGGCTTCCTTCCAGGTGAGGATGTCCGGTCGACCAACGAGCAGGGGGGTCACCGAGATTCTGTCCGGCGTAAACTTGAAGTAGCTGTAGCTCGGTGCTATCCCGCCCGCAGTCACGTGGGTCGCTGACATCGGCGACAATCGGCTTCGACGTCCTCCGACGTCGCCCTGCGAGGAGCCTGCAGCCGCCAACGACTGCATCCCTCGCGCCTGAACGCCGCCGGCTTCACCGGCGTGTATCACACCTCGCTGCCTCGACGTGCCTCCCGCACTGCTGCCGACTTGGCCTCCACCGGCGTTGACGCCACGTCGACGCCGCCGTCGTTGTTCAGCGGTCGAGGAGAGGCTGGTCGAGAAGGGGGGTGCTCCGCTGCCCACACAGAGCGGAGTCCTGCCTCGACGACTGCCCAGGGTATCGCCCCGTACTCCTGGGCCTCATGGCGTCTCCTCGCATCCTCCAGCTGTGCCTCCAGGGTGTCCATCACCTCGGCGTCACCTACGCGCACGCTAGTGACTGCACGGCTGCCGGCCTACGAACACGGTAGGTGCAAAGTCGGCTAGACTGAACTACGTCGCGGTGTCGTCCACGCTCACCGCACCATGCGGAGATAACTAGTACAACGGGAGCTAGGCTACGGGCTAGGCACGGGGCAAGCGTGATCTCTGCGTTCGTTCACTTAGTCGTTTACTCGTGCTTGCACTACTTGCTGGTTCACGGGGGAATTTGGCAAGAGTTCCACTAGCAAAAGTTCACAACAATGGTTGATACAACATTGGCAACACAGACTACATCAGAGCTAGCTAGGCTGCTGGTCGACCTCCAGCGCAGCATGGTCGACCGCGATCCAGCGCAGCAGAGCTCGCACCGCTCCAGCGTTGCAGAGTAGCGGTTCGCCAACGTTGCAAGTCCACGGTGTGCCAACGCTGCAGCAAGTCGGCTGCACAGCGTTGCACTCGCAGGACAATGGTGCACCTGCTTCGCAGGTGTGTGTAGCTGGTTGGTGCACCACTCCTTGTCATGCGCACAGCGCAGACGTCCACGTCGAGTCCACGCCAGCGACTGCGCCTACCAGCCACGTCGACCTCGGGATACCACTTCCGAGGTCGGCCTCGCAGCAACCACCCCGGCGACCATCGCACACGTCGCCCGGGTATCCAGGTTGACCGGGCAACCACGCCTGGTCGCCCAGCTCAGTTGGTCGCCGGCTACACCTGACCGGCGTCCCTAGAAGAGGTGTCCCAGCACCCAGGTCGGCGTCCTGACGCCTAGGTCGGCGTCCAGGTGCTCAGGACACCGTGCAGACGCCCAGGTCGGCGTCCAGGCACCCAGGGCGCCGTCCAGACTCCCCAGGTCGGCGTCCAGGCGCCCAGGACGCCGTCCAGACGCCTAGGTCGGCGTCCAGCCTCCCAGGACGCCGTCCAGACGCCCAGGTCGGCGTCCAGCCTCCCAGGACGCCGTCCAGGCGCCCAGGTTGGTGTCCTCCTGCTCGGCGCCCTCCAGCTAGGCGCCCTCCAGTTCGGCGCCCTCACTGCAACAGATCGGCTGCGCTCCCCACACACCCGACTACGAGGTCGGCTCCGCCCAAGCGAGGACGGGGCCAACCAAAACTCCCGTTGACACGGCAGACCCCTCAGGCTCCATAACAGGTTTCCACCTCCCCTCGTTCTCTAAGAACTTGGTGAGTAACGCTGTCCTCCAGGACCAGTTTGTCACTATGACTCTCCTGGGGGTGAGCTTGTGGCGATCTGTACGGACTCACGCACTGGCAAGCACCTCGCCACGTTCATTCGAAGGCCAGGGTCTGGTCTGTACACACTGACTACTGAGTCTGCACAGGTGGCTGCGTCAGGTCAGGTGGCTGAGTCGGGTCAGTTAGTTGCGTCTTGTACGTGTCGGCTACTCTCGCATCAGACTCTCCTCTGGCACCACCGTCTTGGTCACCCCTCCCTGCCGCGCCTTCGTGGCATGCACTCGCGTCTCCTTGTCTCTGGCCTCCCCAGGTCCCTGCCCCCACTCCCGCGCTCGCTTGCACCGCCGTGCCTTCCGTGCGTTGAGAGGCGGCAGCGCGACGCTCCTCACTCCTCCTCGTTTCCGCCGACCACTGCTCCTCTGCAGACTCTCCACATGGACGTGTGGGGCCCACCCCGCGTCCGTGGACAGGACCAGGAGCGCTACTTTCTGCTGGTTGTTGACGACTACATGCGCTACACCACGGTCTTCCCGTTGCGGAGCAAGGCGGATGTCCGCGGTGTTTTGATCGACTGGATCATCACTGTTCGTCGCCAGCTGAGCGCGCGGTTTCAGCAGGACCTCCAGGTCCTGTGACTGCACTCTGACAGAGGCGGTGAGTTTTCCTTCGGCCTCCTTCGGGACTTTTGTCGTGCGGAGGGCATCGCCCAGTCGTTCACGCTTCCGGCCTCTCCACAGCAGAATGGGATTGCTGAGTGTCGCATTGACTTGGTCATGGAGGTTGCTCGCACCTCCATGATCCATGAGGTTGCTCCCCATTTTCTGTGGCCGTTTGCGGTCCGATACGCCGCGCATCAGCTCAACCTCTGGCCCCGTGTCTCTGTGCCAGAGACCTCGCCTACACTGCGTTGGACGGGGGAGATTGGCGATGCGTCGGCGTTTCGGGTCTGAGGCGCGCTCTCCCTTGTCCGCGATACCACCGCGAGCAAGCTCTCTCCTCGCACTCTCCGTTGCGTCTTCCTTGGCTTCCCCACCGACGCCCCGCCCTGGCAGTTTTACCACCCTGCCTCGCGCCGCGTCCTGTCCTCACAGGACGTCACCTTTGACGAGTCTGTCTTCTTCTACCGTCTCCACTCTCCCCGCCGCCCCTCCCCACGTCACACGTGTCCTCCCCACTCTCCCCGCCGCCCCTCTTTTTGGTCCCAGGTCCCGCCCCAGTAGAACCCCTCCCCCCACAGGGTCCTGCTCCCTCAGGTGTGTCTCAGGTCGACCCACCCCCCTTGGTTGAGCATTTGGAGGTCTCCTCTGACACCTCTGTCCCAGC